CTCTCTCTCTCTCTCTCTCTCTCTCTCTCTCTCTCTCTCAACAGCAAAAAAAGAATTATGCCATCACTGCAAGACTGTTTCTAGCTTTTAGATATGACAGTTTTTTACATTTTACATCATCTTGACTCATAATCATTTTCTTCTTTCAAGCAACTTCAAAGTGACTTTATGCAATAAATGCACAACAAGCAAAAAAAAAGAGCTTGAGTTATTATTATTTTTATATAAAATGTACTTTATTTGAGTTTGACACCTCAGCTTAAAACACTCTGACAGGACTGATAATCCTGTCAGTTTTGATGATAAAGCATCACATTATTAAAACAGAACAAGGTCAAATATGTGTTTGATGTTAATGAAGGTGTTTTGCACTGGATTTGATTTTTGCACAGGGACTCGAGTTCCTCGTTGAAATACAGTCTCTTTTAAAAAACCTGCTTAAAAACAGACTTTTACAAAACGTTGGCCATTTTTTTAGTTATGCATCCAAATTCTGTTGAGCAATATGTGTGAAAGAGCAAACATCAGGGAAACGGTTAATGTTTTGGACATTTGTGCAAGCTGAATATTTTTTGAACAAGCAAAAAGGTGATGGTRAAAAGTTAGATGTATTTTTTGTGACTGTTTTTCACAAGTTGATTTCAATTTTTTTTAAACCATCATATTTAGCCCACATGACTGACAGTAATAACATAGAGGATGTGCAGTAGCATTAATAATAATCACTCCAGAGATGTATAATAATAATAATAATAATAATAATAATGATGATAATAATAATAATAATAATAATAATATGAACAACTGCTGTATCTATGTTATACTATGTATTCTCTACTAAATTTTCCATTAAATGTGTACACAGTTCACTGATATAAATATTTTTCTTGAAATCTATTCTTCATACTAAAACCTAATGAAAAATAATAATACAGCAGTTTTGTAGTGGAAATTGAAAGTTTCTGTGTAAGTTTTTTTTCCTGCAGCTCCATTACAAGACACTTTTAGAGTAGGAAAGGGTATAATGTTAGAAAATATCAGTATCCTAACTCTGCATCATAACTTTGTTCAATTTGTTCTGTAATTATAAATGCTTCATATTTGTAATCCTGTGAAATTTTGACTATGTCCTGTTGTGTCTGTCTATTGTACAGCACTTTGGCTGGCCTTGTGTTGTTTTAAGTGCTTTATAAATAAGTGGTATGGTATGGTATGGTATGGTATGGTAAAAAGACAATAAAAGACATGTATTGTCATGCATTTTAGGGTAAATTAATTTGTCATTTCACATCACTTTTTCCACTTTAAGTTACTGAGACAATGTTTTTTGTTTTTTACAAGTTTTATACATTCTGATTTGWAAATATACAACTTTCACATGTGATTGGTCCGGTTAAACAGTTCAAAACAGCAGTAAATAAGAGCAGTATTATRTTTTGCTTCCTGTGGCTCGACTTAAAGGGTTAACTACGTCACCCTGAGTGACGGGCCTGTCAGCCAATCAGCTGCTGAGTTTATAGTCAGCTATTGCGTTGTTTTCGGGAAAGGGACCTTAGTTGAGAGGAAGTCAGCAGTAAGAGAAAGGGGAATGCGCGTCTCGGTTTTTGGCCATCTGACATTTAGAAAAAAACGGTTAATTCATCAGAATATTTGGAAACCGGATTTATCTCAGCAAGACTGAAGACTTTGAATCGAAACGACGACAAAAAGAGGCCGAAAAGCCGCAAAGCAAAGGCACCTAAACTCGATCGCGACGAATGTACTGAACGGAAGTAACTTGCCAGCTGTCTGGCGAAGCTTGTGAGGTGAGCAATAATTGATTTTTTWAAATGTTTCCATCGAAAACGTCTTCTGCTTTCCTGTCTGTTGAAACAACACACTCATTTGTTTTTGTCTTGCCGCTAAGTGGAGAGCTGCTAATCTAGTTTAACTTCATCAAACTTGCTAACAAGCTAATGCTARCGACTGTGGGTTCAGTCGTCGTCCATTTTCGGTGGAGAGATGATGCACGTTTTCTTTTCTTTTTTCTTTGTATTATTATTATTATTAGTAGTAGTATTTTAAGTATTTACGATAATAAAACTAAGGCCTAAGC